AGTGTTATGATTCTCATAACACTACTCTTATATGTAATGAGTTTTGTGAAAGCACTTGTAATATATACATATAACTCAAAGGTGACTGACATAGTGATCTATCAACGCACAGCCCCAATCACTGGACGGATCGGGCGCAAATTTGGCATGCAGATAGATAGCTAAGAAAGGATTTTGATTAATTCTACCTCCAAGGGGATAAAATAGGGGATGAAACTTTGTCAACTTCAAACCGATCGGGCTGAAACTTTGCATGCATAAAGCTACTATGACGTAGACATCCCCTAAGAAAGAATTTTGATGAATCCCACCCCTAAGAGGATAAATTAACGCGAGCGAAGCCGCGGGCAAAAGCTAGTTATTAATATAAATCATAGGTCTGATGTGTGATTTGGTAATTTGATGTGTCTACCTAAATCATCACAGTAATGTGATGATTTAGGTAGATGAATTCACACTCAGAATTAATGTGTGTTTACTTAAACACACATTAATTCTGAGTGTCCTATAAAAATCAGTAATTCATATTAATTTTTGATAGTGTCACAACACTATTTAAGAATCGCAAAAAGTTGGCACCATTTTTATCTCAGAGAAAAAACAGACTATGGTTATATAGTTAGATGAAGGTACTGATTGATTCTCTATTTTTATGTCATACTCTACAATATTACTATAGTAATTAATTCATAACATTATTGTTGTAGCTTGTACAACCATTTTAGGTTTTTAAATTCATCACTACTCAACTGACTTTCGTCTAATTTTATACCGTTCTTAAAAGCGGATTTAATGGTTCTGGCTTAATTTCCCATCGCATCCCATTAAGTTGGTAATTTAAGCTGCCACTTTCTCATTCAGCTAAAACATTTATCGACAGGTAGGTCGACTCTTTATCTCCATTAAGAAGTTATTTCAATATTAGCTGTAAGTGAGAAGCCGAAGCAAATTAGTTGGAAACTGGCCGGTAAATGTGGTGAAATGCGTGGGTGAACTCGACGATAGTTCAGTTAGTCATAGCAACAATACAAGATGTAAGACAGTAATGTGAATATGCATGTGCGATACCTACTGTTAAACTTTGTATACTATTTCTATTAGAGAAAATATTTAAGTAGCCACTACTTAAAACAAAGCCAGGGGACGACTATTTCGAAAGTCGATTCCGAGGACATCTCTGGCATCTAGTTTTAAAACGATTCTAGAAAATTACTTCCTTAAGAATCCTTTGCTGGATATCTTTTTCTCATCTAGTGCTACCGGGAAGCAGCTTGCTTTGTAAGTTGTTTAGGTTTAATGAAAGTATATCCGTTTGTCAATTTATGACGCTATTTATAGGTTTTAATATAATGTACAGAATAGAATAGAAATAATCTTTATTCATATAAGTACTTGTTTATAAAATTTTTTGGTTCTACCACTCATTCAGAAAATTAATAACTTTTAAATAAATATTGTTCAGCATTATATTTTTAGGAATCTTATGTGAAACAAATGGTTAAATAGCAAAGTTTATATAAATAAATAGTCACTTGAGTAACAAAATAAATAGGTCGTAGTTATCAGAGCACCAGTTGAGAGACCAGTTGTAAAACAGCCTTTCACGATTCAGGAGCTTTATAAATTTATTTATTTACACACAAATTAATATAAAAACAAAATATCTGCAGCAAATATATTATGTACATACACACACATATATATTCACATTACTGTAGAATCGAGTATCTTATGCCACATATTACGCCCTAATATTTATTTATTTATAAAAAAGCTTAATCATTTCTATTTTAGAAACAAGTAGTGCGATCACTTTCCATTTTTATCCCGTATTTATAAGTTCAGAATACAAATATAATCCAATATATTCGATAATGTAATAATCTCTACATATATTTATTACCATAGACAAATATTTTGTTCTTTTCGCACGCTGACTGTTTACAATCTGCAGCGCACAGATCATCCATCAAACTGCTATACGATATATACGAGCCAGACTAAACATCGTTCACAATAGGTAATAATTCAACAATCAATCTCATAAATTTATACGCGCAATGATCAGACGCAAAGTGCGTCATTCTTCGTCGTATTAATATTATAAATGTAAAAGTTTCGCTATGGATGTATAGATGAGTGTACATACACTACAGCTTTGTTAATTTTCACGCAAAAACTATTGAACAGATTTTGATGAAACTTTAAACTAATAAAGCTTCAAATCAGAATAACACAAACACAAACCGCGGGCATAGTTAGTGTTTAATAAAATCAGTTAAATTTATTATTTGAGTAAATTATTTTGTCTATACTAATATAATAAAAAGGAGATTTCAGATTGTTTGTTCGCATTGAATAGGCTCTGAAACTATTGGACGATTATACCGATTAAACATTTTCAGGGATATATTATTTTTAAAAACGTTAGGAGTCCTTAAACTTCGATAATGTGTGGAAAAATACCAAGAATAATCCTTATATTGCGTACGCTAACGAAATTAACAATAGAGCAAAGTTATTTACAAATATTTGTTGCTACTGTTGGAAACTCCAACAAAAATATAATATTTCACAAGATTTAAATATAGAACGCTGTGTTCTAATGATTACGATTGTCATTTGTTTTATGTTCTTCAATATCTTTGTTGCACCGCTAATTATATCGACATTTTAATAAATATATATATTAATTATTTAATTTACAGTTTGGTGTTTTTATAATTATTTACAACTAATACATCCACGCACCTCGTTGAAATTCACACACCGATACATATACATCCTGTATGTGTTAAAATGTATATTTTTTTAAATTTTGGATTAAATATCCGTGCGAAGGTGGGACGAGCCGTTAATTTTTATTAAAACGAAGGACAAATGAGTGTAACCTAAAAAATAAAAGGGATATCTAATTCTCTAATTTCACTGCCTAATCTCACCCTTCAACAACTTTTTCATCAACCCATTTAGCGATTGAAATAAAAGGGACTAACGTCCATAAGCAGACTACAAAATCTACGTCAGTAAAAAAAAACATAGAAATGCTTTAATATACATATTAAACTTCTATAGAGTAATATTACTCTATGAATATCTGAAACAAAAGTTATATCTATGGTGTCATTTGTGCCGGTATTATCAACGTTGTGTAACACGAATTAAATATTCTATGATAACCACTGATTTACAATGGCGATAACCATAAAACTGTTGACTGCTTGCATACTAATATTAGGCAATCCCATGGTTATTGAAAAATATACCTTTACGATTGATTTTAAGGATAATTATTGCAAGTACATGCTGGCAGGGCACCAGTGGAGGATAGGATGACCGTGAAGTCAGGTCAGTTAGCATACTGTGGTGAAGTTACTAGGAATTAACACGATTATTTCCAGAGAAGACAGTGTGGAGTTTGACTATAATGGTGTATTATTAGTAATATGACTTCTTCTTCGATTGCTATTCTATCATTATCCATTACTTATAATCGCCAAAGGGGCGACAATATTAACACTTGATATGCCCACTTTTCGTCTATATCGGCCAGATTTGTACTGTACCCTACACAAAGAGTAGAATAAGTACTAGTAATATAATAATAAAATAAAAATATGACAGAATCATTTTGCGTAGAACTTAATTATTTAAATAATTTTAATTTATTTAAATTACTACTTCATTTATATATTGGAGACGCTGCGGAATATTCGAAGGTATGTATAAATTCATAAAATGAAACAAAACAATATGAACGTTCTATTTTCAAATTTAATAATTTTATTTTTAAATACATTAAAAGGCTATTTGCGATCGCAAATAGGTATCCTTTAGAGTGTGATGAAATATAAGCCTACATTCTATCTTTTATTAACTATCTTTTATGGACAGTAAAACTGAAGACAAAACCATAACAATTTAAAACAATAACAATAAAGTTTTATAGTTTCAGTGACCATGTGTACGGTTTGTATTTAGGACACATTCGCCGGATTCCATTCAACATTGGATTTCTTTATACGACGTGGAATGTGTAACGAGCTGACCGTCCACCTGATGGAAAAAAATAACTGTCGGCTATAAAGTGCATATTTTTTGGAACCGATATTTTGCGTTGTTATTTATTATATCGTTTTCATTCAAAATTTCATTGTATTCAATGTTTATAAACTACCATATGAAAGTGTAATCATTAATTCATTATAACAATTCCGACACATTCCGTCTTTGTTATTCGGCTTCGCAAAAGAAGAAATCAAATCAAGAACAACGACATATCACAAATTCAACGTTGGCTGACCATATGCGCGAGTGTTTCATAACATCGCCCATATCTGCTAAGAACATTACAGTGAGTGAGTGGTAAGAGTGTATAAATAGCACGACTGACTACTTGCGGGTTATCGAGACACCAAGTAAGCGTTAGTGTATAACATCAAAATGTTAGGTATTTTCTATTTCTATACAAGCTGTATCCTCGATTTCTTCGTTTAGAATAGTGAACTTGACCAAATAAAAAAAAATATTTATTAATCTAAACCTACAACACCCAAAGAATAATGTTACATTCGTTGTAGATTTAAAAATGACAACTTTCTATATAAACTTTCATCCCCTATTTTATTTTACCCACTTAAGGGTTACAATTTTTTACAAACTTTAAATGTAACTTTTATTTCTATTTAATATATAGCTTAAAAATCAGTTTCACACTTCTAGCCTTAAAAATAACGATACATCCTTTTACTTACAACATTTCATCTCTCCTTTCAACCTCTAACAACCATTTTTTTCGCATTAAAAATATATCCTCTGTCCTTTCTCAGGGTATAGACTATCTGTTTAACGAATTTCATTTAAATCGTTACAGTAGTTTTGGCGTGAAAACGCGACAGATAGATAGACAGAGTTACTTTCGCATTTATAATATTTTTACTTTTTAATGCGAAAAAAGGGTTGTAAGTATCATCATTTTCGAAAAAATCTATTGTACTTACCATCGACCCTCCTTGCTCTGCTGGCGAGGGTGGACGCGAGTTTCTCCAGTTCGTTTTTCAACAGTTGCTGTAGTTGAGTCTCGGCATTTTCTATAAAATAGTCGGAGTCTTTTTTACTACAGCAACCTCTGTTTAGACAAAGCCCTCCTGCATCTGGAATAGAAGAGAAATAACATGATTATAAAAACAAATTTAGTCAAGATCATTCATTTACAGTAGATGGAGGGAAAGAGTAGTATTGGGGACTAACAGCCGATAGTTGACTTTAGATGGAACATTGCGAGTAATATTGCATGTAATGTCGACCTGAACGCGGTTTCTACTGACAACTACCCTGGTAATTCATTATCATGGCGAATTCGCCATCATAGTGATTTTGTCATTGTAGTGAATTCGTCATTATGGTGAATTCGTCATCATGCTGAATTCATAATAACGGGTTTACCTAAGTCCATGCTCAACTTATACGCCGCCGTTAGTGTAAGCGATTCATTCTCATTCTGTAAGAAATTGCTTAAATCTATAACACCGCCTTTTGTTATTACTTTTCTACCTAATATGTTTTACTTATTACTATATCTTATCTATGCAAGAAGTATGTGTATAAGTACTGTATATAAGTAAAGAGTTTATTGTTATAATAGAAACTTAATACAATAATTACTTTATAAAAAGACAAGTTATTTTTCATAAGCAAATATATATATATATATATATATAAAGAGATCTGAACAATCGTATTCGAAATCGGAGTTGGTAATAGATTGTCAACAATTCGTAGCTGATCGAATATTAATGTGTTAATTGCCTAGGCAAATCGTATTAGTGCCAACGTTAAAGAATGCTAACTAGACCCAGTAAATAGTAATAATGTGCAACATGTAGTACTAGAGTGTCTGACCTTGTCTATGCTAATTTTTAGGAGTGACCTTAGTTCGTCTAATAATTATCGCCTGAAAGATCTATGTAGTATAGTTAGAAAATACAGACTATTTTAAAAATTCGTTCACTTGTCTATCTTAATAAAGGCGGAAGTTTGTGAATGTGGATAAATGGAAGTATGTTTATTAAACTTTCACGCAAAAACAACTGAATGGATTTCAATGAAACTCTACAATATTATAACTTATATATCGGCTATAAATTTCACGTGGTTGAACCCGTGAGCACAGCTAGTATCTAATAATAATAATAACCCAGGCTAATCCACAAATTGCCACCTAGTCTCAAGCTAAGAAGAGCATTGTGTTATGTGTACTAGACAATTGATGTTGTTGTAGTTTTATTTTATATTTGTATAGGTAAAAGGAAAAATATTTGGTATACGGAAAAAATATATTTGGAAAGACTATTGACAACAGAATGAAGGAATTTATAAAAGAACATAAAATACATTTGTAATTAGCCAGTTACAACTGATATGAATACTTAAATTTAAATACAAATATAGACATAGGAAACAACCAGACAAATACGAACAATCATACTCATTACATTAAATGTTTGTATTGTTCGAGGAATAGAATACGCGATCATTGGATATAAGGCGATGTGCTAAACCACTAGGCCAACAGGTCTAGGTTAGCAGCAAATGTTACGCAGTCATTGCCTAAATTCCTTAGAAAAAAAGCACCCGTGCAAACGCGAAACGGGTGTGAAGAAGTCAGTAATGTGAACTAATAACCCCCTTGCTTGCTTATTGGTTCCCTCTGGGAACCATCGTGATAAATTCATGATGAATTTACCACGATGGACTAAGTGACTTCACCTCATGCTCATCTTAGTATCCTGCACTGGTGCTCCGCTAGAGTAAACCGTTAGCGCAGACGGGTGCACCATTCCATTATCATGAATCCGAAATGGGTTGGAATATTACTAAATAATTGATATGTACATATATTGGGTATTTCTTTTTACAGCAGTTCAGAGTAATCGTTATTATTATTTACAATTATCATTAACATATTTCCATAAATAATACGATTTCCATAAATTTAGATAACAAGTCTGAGTATTATTATAAACTCTTGGATAACATGAGCGCCGTGGATTAATTTGATAAGATTGTGTTATTGCGTAATTTAGTTTTTATAACTGGCATATCATTTTTATTTTTTATGGCACTTTCTATACGAGTGTTTGCAAGGACACTGCAGTGAAATATATGTTAATACGACGCTAATTATCGTGTAATTAAGCATTTCTTGTACTTAATTAATACAATTATTATTATTATTATTTTGTTTAATTCCGCTACCATAACTATGTGTGTGACCACAAATATTCAGTGCGAAAACCTGACCATTGCTACTGGAAGCATTGCGATCTCTAATGGTGATCAAATTCCGATCGTTATTGTGTCTACACCCATATTACGATACGTTTTTCGCCTCCGAACGAGGCATCTTTAAACATTGAATAGAGTTCGGATATTAGATACAGTAGTTGTGGTCAGGTTTCCGCACTGAATATTTGTGGTCACACACATAGTTATGGTAGCGGAATTAAACAAAATAATAATAATAATTGACTTCCGCAAAATATAGATAAAAAAATATTTGTAATATCTGCTATTTGTAATGCATCTGAATGTCAACAATATTTTTTGCTAAACTAAAGCATATTATCATTACATTATTATTACTATAGTAGTAATTAATTTCAATTTATATCTGTCTATTGTCCAAAAAAAATATTACACACATAATGCATTTTTATCTATCATAGGCCCTCTCCATATAGACTTTAACTGTGTTTTATAATACTCCATAACATTCCCAAAAAAAGTTTGTGCTTGACGAATTCTACAATTATTGTCTTTTTACGTGATGCCGTTTTTATAATTTCAAGACAAAATTTTGTACTAAATATAATACAATATATTATTATAAAATGTAACGAACAAATAAATATGTATCAATATTCCTGTTACTTTTTGAAAATAAAATATATATTCTCCTGTACACTGACAGGAAATTACAATAAAAAAGTTTAAACATTCCTAAAAGGAATACATTAAAATTCAAGTGTAAGCACATGTTAACCGTGGATAAAGAAATATTCTCACTCTATGTACGATGTCAACTAAATGCAAGCGACCTATGTGAAGCAGACAGATCGAAGGTAAAGGGCGAGAGGGCACGCGCCCTCTGTAGGGTCGCAGGCGAGCGAGACGCAAATGAGTTTAAACATCTATAGGACTCGGTTTATTGCATTACTGGTTGCATACGGGGATGGTAATTTAGAATTGGATTTCGGCAAATATATATTTTTATTTATTTATAATGCTTTATTGCACTAACAATAAAAGTAGATATTGAAAAATATATCAATAGTTTAAAGAAAGAAGAAAGTACAGAAGACGGTCTTATCGCTAATGCAATCTCTTCCAACAACTTTAGGAAAGAGAGTATTAATAAAAATAAATTAGTACAGAGTTGAATAAGTTCACAAAAATAAATATATATATATATTTACCCACATAAGACATTGTGTGACTAATAAGCAAATAATTAATTCTAGGGGCTTGTCCTATATTCAAAGACCTATAATTTTTGTTCAAGTGCAAATTAGTTATTTGGCATACTGTGCCCTCTAATGGTAAACAAATATTATTCGTTATGTACAAAAATACAAATCTTTCCTCATTATATTATATTTTTAAAGATGGAAAATATTGGTGCACTCGTGTTTAAGTAGATAATTTGTAGTACTATCTATACATATAATTTTTGTATCCAATTTATTTCTTTATATGCTATTTATTAATTTGAAGAAGTAATAAGCGTGCTTCAAAGTTCAACCTTATTGCAATCTAAACATAGTAGTCTTCACTTATTCTATGGAGAGATTTTATCACAATAATAACTATAACACTTAACACAAAGCTGTAACAATGCCTAAACAAACAAATAACTCATTGAATTTCAATACCGTAGTTCCAATCGTGCTTCCTACCACTGAGGCAGGATCAACTAGAATTGCTGATTTACATCTCATGTGCTCATGTCAAAGTAATTTCGCTGTTATGCTAAAGACCCAAGAGTTATAATTATGTAATTCTTGTTTCTGTCTGCCTTTATTAATATTGTGGTACAAGTGTTAAGATGTAGATGGTAAAACTGTGAACATACTACGAATTTTAGCTTATACTTGTATACTACTATGTATAATCTCATTAATATATGACTAAAACGATGACTAATCTTTTTGTTCACAGACAGCATAATTGTTTTATACATGTATTAGTGTATTACATTTTAATTATTCGTTACATTTAAGTTAACAATAAACAATTAATTAATTGTCTTGATTAATAATTCCATAATTGTATAATTGTATAAAATATATAGATACGAGTAATCCTTACATAATATAGTAAAAAGAATAGTATCTTTTGAACATTTATTTCATTATTCATAACACCATTCATTCAGGAGTAAGATCAGAAACGCACGCGTTTAATCGACCCTTTCTAATACGCGATTCACTTGTAACATGTGGCAAACCGTCTAGGAGAAACAACCCCAAACTAGGGGCGACATATCTATTGACACTGGATTCAACGTGAGTCACCGCATCTTTATATTTATTACATGTTCACTGCCGGCTTCTGTCTGAACAGGAAATACATGTGACTTCAAAAGAGGGCTTGATTGCAACGAATTTTTATGTCATTCGAATAGGAGCTTCACATGAGTTTACAAACGCAATAGTCCTTCTACAAAGCAGTCTGATTGCCTCTGTTTTACTTATTTTAGCTGACAAGCAGGTTGCTTTTAAGCAAGTAAGCTGAGTTTCACTTTAACTCGCTCGATTTCTTCTGTTTTACTTACTTGAGCTGACAAACAGCATGCTTTGTAAGTTGTTACACTTTGAATCGTTGTTAAAACATTAATTATTGGCAGCGATTAGTTAAGTTACGAAATGGCTGAATAACAACTTCTACCGATTCGATATTTTGAACTCACCACAATATAGACTACAAACTTTTACCCGCGGCTCGCATTGGATCAATTTTTTTTTATTAAATAAAATGTATCCTATGTTCATTCTAATACCTCCAAGAACATGTGTACAAAATTTCGTGATAATCGGTTCAGTAGTTTTACGTGAAAGCGTAACAAACATCCCTACTTTCACATTTATAATAT